ATTCTATTAAGTGAAGTATCCCAAGAATGGAAAAACAAGCACCACATGTACTCACCATCAAATTGGTATTAACTGATCAACACATAAGTGTACATATAAGAATAACATCTAGTTGGATGTCGGGAAGGGGGGAGGGAGGAGGGGGGAGGAGGGGACGGGTATTTGCATACACAAAGAGTGCAATGCATACCATCCAAGGGATGGGCACACTTGAAACTCGGACTTGGGAGGGAGTGGGGAGGCAAGGGCAACATATATAACCTAAACATCTGTACCCCCATAATATGCTGAAAAAAAAATTTCCCCCCAAAAAAAGAATGGGTATCTACTGTGGAATTTATTCTGTCAAATAAAAACATTTTCATAACTTCTGCCATTTTTCCAGTTTCATCTGATACTTTATGATGAAATGGGGAGTAAAACTTAATGCTGTTTTGGCCAGTTTGGATTTTCTTTGTCAACCTGAGAGGAGCTGAGAAAAAATAGCGTCTATCTTTTTAGCCCATCACCCCACTCTCCCTATACAGACAGCGAAGGAAATAGTTGGTGTGTCATGCTCACAAAGGGCTTCACAAAGAGGGGGATAGAGAATTCACTTCTTGATGGCTAGTACCTGGGGGAACAGATTTAAGGGTCTCATCACTTGATAATAGTGACTGACAAGGGGTGAAAAGTATGTCTTCATTTTTTAAAGGTGTAATTATGTCCACAACTAGCATACATATTTCTGTCAGCTACCTACTAGGCATGTAAATGTGTTTCCAAATAAGCCAAGTTGATGATATGGATTCATGGGGAGGCTGTTTAACATGTAGATATGGGAATGAGAGAATTGTAGTATTCTGAAACATCCTGGAATCAGACAAATATTACCAGTGTTTGTGTTGATGCATTTTTGTCTTTCACAGGTATGGTAAATAAATCTTGTATTTCACTGGTTCTTTATATTTATCAAAATGGTTAATGTAAGATGATGTGTAAGATTTTTAAGTTGCAGAAATAAGACCTATGTTTGTTTATCTGCTTGTAATAGAACACACGTGCACACATACATATCAATATATATATTTTATATATAGAGAGAGATATAAATAGAGAGAGAAAAAGAGAGTGGGATGTACCCAACATATTGCATTTTAGGAGAACTGGACACAGTGACTACTTGTTTATCTTTAAAGTAAAATAAAAATTATTAGGCCAATTGGACCTAATAAACATATACAGAAAACTCCACCGAGAACAGCACAATATACATTTTTCTCAAGTGCAAATGGAACATTCTTCAGGATAGATGACATGTTAAGCCACAAAAAGTCTTCTTAAGTTTAAAAATATTGAAATCATAAAAAATATCTCTTTAAATCACAATGGAATGAAACTGGAAATTAATAATACAGGGAAAACTAGAAAATCCATAAATATATGGAAATTAAATAACACACTTTAAAAATGTCAAAAAATAAATCCCAGAGGAAATTACAAAATATCTTTAGATAAATTAAAATGAAAATTCTGCATTAGGAATAAAGGTTTCATACTTATAATGAAAAGACTCCTGCTTTCTTACATGTGTTTCAGGACAAACTTTACCCACTGCTGGTGGGACTGCAAATTAGTGCAACCTCT